GATTACATAACCCTTTTCCTGTTCAATGCGAACGACCGCTGTTTCGGTACACAACAGATTCACTTGCGAAAAGAACAAAAGAAAGCACGAAAAAATGTAGACAACGCAATAACTCTAGAAATTTGAATCTTCTCCGTTTTTGAGACCTGTATTTGATCCCACAAGAGAGTTCGAGATTTCTGGGAATGTAGGATTTGCATCAAAATTTTAAGGGCTATTGTAGTGACAACTTTTCAGTTGGTGCTCTCTTTTGTTTTTGGTAAGGTCTCTTTAAAGACTGTTGCTGGGTGATTGATTTGCGACCAGGCCTGCATATGAATTCGCCAAGGTTGTAAGCCAGTGAGCCCGTGCATTTTTGTTAAGCGGTCATATTTGAAAATGTAAATAAAGAAAAGGGAAAACCCGCAGCTCGCCTTTCACTCAGACAAACAGTACAAGTCGTGTTAAATTTATTTACATAACTAAACAAAATGATTATAGAATTAAATATTTAAGAATTGAATGCTCGATCATATGAAACATTTTCCACCTTAAATACACACGTGTTTTTCAGAAGGGAATTTAGTCGAACTTTTTTCACGATGGAATTTTGTTTTGAGTCGTTTCGACATAAACAGTCGCTATCAAGACATTACACGAAAAACCCCAGTCACCGTTCTAGCTCTCGTTGTAAGGTCAGAGCTAGTAAATGTGTAACTGGCCTGTTACATAACGTCAAATCGTCGAGCACGCTGGCGACTTATTGCCGAAAATGCGACAAAGAATGAACTACGACCGTTGTTGTTTGTACTAAAAATAACAAACGCTTTAACTCTATTGGAATACGTGAACCTAAGCTGCCCTAGCTTTTCCAGTGATGCTGTAGATACTCAAAGCTTAGAGGAAACAAGAGCTAAGAAAAATGATTTGCAATGGTTCCTCCTAAGATACATTGGACTTGAACGTCGCTTCAACGACGTTCTGAAGTCTTCGTGAAGTCGGTCATTGCTTCGCATGCAATGGAGAACCCGCGTAGAACACAGAACAATTATTTCTATCAGGGAGGGGAGTCTCGTGGTATTAAAGAAAAAGTTATTTGTTTTTTCATTTTTAAGATAAAATTCTCTTTCTATAACGATAATATTTGATTGACATTTAAAAGCTATTTTATAAAGATTTTCAATTTCTCTTTGCGTTTTAGCTTCGATTTTTCGGATAGAATAAAATGACAGGCAGCGTACTCCACTGGGTCGAGTTTTGCTGTGCAAATTCCTCCCGTCGGAGGGTTATGTTTACARCATAASYTTGTCAKCYTTRCGCTGATTGGCTAGTCGCATTTTCTCAAATCACCCAGTGTCAACTAAAACAGCGGTTGCTCGCTGTGAGTAGAAAAAAGGCATATTAGAGCATTGTGAAGATTTTTKAAAGAGTTTTTTATATACCGATGTTGTAGTAGCAGGTGGCGCTGTTGTTGATTTGCTGGTTTCCTTGGTTATTTTAGAGGTGATTGGCATATTCGTTGATCTCGTCTTCCCGTGGGTCATTGTATTAGTAGTCAGTACTGTGACTGGAGGACTCTGGGTAGAGGAAGGCTGCGTGACATTCACAGGACCTTTGGTAAGAAGCAAAACTTGATTAGAATTTAAAAAATAAATGAAACAAAGTGACAAAGTGAGATGAACATGAATGGGAAAATAACGTTAGAATGTAATCTGGTTTTAGTTTCCAACAAGACAAAAAGAAACGCAAAAAGAAAAATATAAAAAATGATTAAAAAGGGAAGAAAAGAATTTACAGGCACAGGTGAGGTCAACAAATACTTTCTTTCTTTCTTTTTTTTTTCTTTTCAAAAAGGGGGCGAAAATATATGTGTTAGGTGTTAGTTATTATTTCACTTACACTGTGTTGTTCCTTCTATCTTAAACAAAACACAAGACTTAGTTCCTCTAGTTGTTAAGCCAAGTCGAATAAGTTTCCCGCCAAGCAACTTTTCATTCTTAGTGACCTATGAAATAAATTGTGTGATCTGAACCATATCGAAATCTGTGTATAACAAAAAATCTATAACTAAATACAGTCAAACTCTCGCCTTACGGACACACCAATATAACGGAAACCTCATATTACGGACACGAAATACTGAACCCCCGGCGAAAAATACAAAGAAATAACTGAAAGTAACTCCCGTTATTACGGACTCTCGATACGGCGGACACTAAATATATTACGGTTCGAGGAAGTCCGTAATAGCGAGAGTAGCTTAATTTTGACATGTTCTTTCCTATCGTGAGTTAATTTTTTAATTAAATTGATTGATTTTAGATATGTCCCTCCTCTCCTCTACACGTTCTGAAAATGATGAAAAGGCCAATTATACACATTCACTCTAGTTACCCTGAATGTAAATTTTCTCATCTTGTTTCCGGCAGATATCTCTGGGATTGGGTCCAAGGAAAAAGGYCCAGGTGCCTTTACGAGWGTGCCCAGTCCCCTCCAATTTCCATTGCATTCACGGTAGCGRGAATTTGAATAATCAATTTTGGAGTAAATAGATGGGATGAGGATTTTATAAGTTTTCCGTTCTCCTGAAAGGATCTTTATTGGATCAGTAGCAGTCTTTCCTTCAAAGTAGAACGTACATCCTACAAAAGTTCATTATAAGCTTAAAGTGCAACTGAACTCAATTTTTTCCATAGTTGAGGAAA